GGCAGACGCAGCTCCGACCTCCTCAGTGCCAACGAGGTCAACAGCAGCAGCAGAAGCAACAGAGGGGAGAAGGGGAACAGGGGAACACCCCTCAAAGAAAGGGGTGCGACGGTCGCTGCGAGAAGCACCTACAGCTAAGATACTCTTCTCAGCTGCAGTAAGGCGCTCCTCTAGCAAGTCGACAGTCAGCTCAGTGGGGCAAAGGGAGAAAAAGTGGTCCCTTACTGAAGAAAGGGAGTCAGGGAGGCGGGTGACTAGGTAGTAAAGGGTGATGTACATGGGGGGGGGGGTTCTTGGCACAGAACTCAGTGGGAAGGGCAGCGCGGTAGCGGGCGTCACTAGTGCGAAGGTGAGCAACTAGGTCAGCGACTGTGGCAAAGGCGGCAAGGTCAGGGAAAAGGTACGGCAGCATGAGGCGGCTGAGGGCAGCAGTGGCAGGGGAGGAGTAGCGTGCAACTACAGCGTCGTAAAAAGACTGAGCAGTCTTGTACTGGCCAAAATGCGCACGCTCAGCAGGCGGCAGGTGACTACGAACAGCAAGGCGAGCAACAGCGTCACGAGTGGTCCACTGCGAGGGAACCGTACTGTCAGTAGTGACAGCAGGAGTAGTAGAAACACCGGACGTGTGATCGAAAAGGGATACCCCATCCCTAGAATTACACTGAAGAAAGAGCTGTAGGTCGTCAACCCACACGTCAAAGTCAACTGCACGTCCCTCAGCATCAAAGGTGAGAATAGTAGGACTAGCCATAGCAGCAGTAGGAGCAGTAGCAAGAGTAGCAGCAATAGCAGCAGAGGCAGGAGGGCAGTGCAGGGCAGTGCGGCTTGGTAGGGCAGTGCGGCTTGGTAGAGCGGCGCGGCTCAGTGGGCAGCGCGGCTCGGCTGGGCGGCGCGGCTCGGCTGGGCGGCGTGGCTCGGCTGGGCGGCGCGGCTCAGCTCGGCGGCGCGGCTCGGCTTACCAGAGACGGGTGCAGGGGCGGGCCGTGACAGCAGGGGCCGCGCCAGAAGAGGCCGCGCCAGCAGGGGCCGGCAGGGGCGCGTCAGCAGTGGCGCGTCAGCAGGGGCCGGGCCAGTAGGGGTCACGCCAGCAAGGGCCGGCAGGGGCGCGCCAGCAGGGGCGCGTCAGCAGGGGCCGGCAGGGGCGCGTCAGCAGGGGCCGGCAGGGGCGCGCCAGCAGGGGCGCGTCAGCAGGGGCCGGTAGGGGCGCGTCAGCAGGGGCCGGCAGGGTCGCGCCAGCAGGGGCGGGCAGGGCGGCTAAGGGGCCGTGACGGGCTGCGAAGGGGCCGACGGGCGGCTAAGGGGCCGACGGGTGGCGAAGGGGCCGTGACAGGCGGCTGAGGGGCCGGCGACGGGCGGCTAAGGGGCCGTGACGGGCGGCGAAAGGGGGGCCGACGGGCGGCTAAGGGGCCGCGACGGGCGGCTAAGGGGCCGACGGGCGGCTAAGGGGGCGACGGGTGGCGAAGGGGCCGTGACGGGCGGCTAAGGGGCCGACTACGGGCGGCTAAGGGGCCGCGACGGGCGGCTAAGGGGCCGACGGGCGGCTAAGGGGCCGACGGGTGGCGAAGGGGCCGTGACCGGCGGCTGAGGGGCCGGCGACGGGCGGCTAAGGGGCCGTGACGGGCGGCGAAAGGGGGGCCGACGGGCGGCTAAGGGGCCGCGACAGGCGGCTAAGGGGCCGACGGGCAGCTAAGGGGCCGCGATGGGCGGCTAAGGGGCCGACGGGCGGCTAAGGGGCCCGGACTGGCGGCTAAGGGGCCGACGACGGGCGGCTAAGGGGTCGCGACGGGCGGCTAAGGGGCCGACTACGGGCGGCTAAGGGGCCGCGACGGGCGGCTAAGGGGCCGACGGGCGGCTAAGGGGCCGACGGGCGGCGAAGGGGGCGTGACGGGCGGCTAAGGGGCCGACGACGGGCGGCTAAGGGGCCGTGACGGACGGCGTAATGGGCCGACGGGCGGCTAAGGGGCCGCAACGCGCGCTTCGGGCAGGGCAGGAGAAAATTTCGAGGTGGGCCCTAAAAAAAAACGTTCCCAATAGGGAACCTGCTCAGAATACCATGTTAGAATAAGGAACGGAATGAATGAACTAGGAAGCAGGTGGGTACAAGTAGGAAACCTAAAAGTGTTGTACCCTATAAGAACTACCCCACTACAGCCTAAACAGACTATAGCATATATAAGCTTGACAGTCTCGGCTTCCCGAATGTCAACCGCATACACGTCAGCTCCTGCCGCTATGGCGCGTTTCATTGTGATGGCGTTGACATGTACCGACGAAGACTCAGGCGAGCCCCATCGAGGTAAGGCGATGTTGTTACCGTTCACTCGCACAGTGCAGCCACCCGTCGTCCGCACGATTCGCGGGTTGTGTCGTCGCAGCCAATCACGGCCGAGTAAAATGTCGGTTCCGTCGAGGGTTGTCGCGAGCATTTCTTGGCTAAATGTGAAGTTACCCCCGCATCGAATCCGAACGCGATCCACGCATTCCCGTATCGCCAGTGGCGTGCCGTCAACCAGTCTTACGTCGATCTCAGGTAAACATCTGTCCAGTGGCAGTCTCAGTTTCCGTGATGTGGCCGTGTTGATGAGGATGTGGCTGGCCCCCCCGTCTACGAAGATTTTGACCAAGTCTGTCCCGATTTTCCCACTCAGCAGTATGAGGCTATCTACCGCGGTACCCTCCTTATTCGGCCAAATGTGGTCGATTGCGTGAACCGGCACAATCAATCGTTGAGGGTCGGTTGGGTCGGGCGAGGGCGTGACCTGTCAGTAGAGGGCCCGTCTGCTAATGACTCCCAGCGTTTCCCTGCTGCTTGGTCTGTTTCTGCTGCTCAGCTTACCCCTTTCCCTTAGCATTTTCCGGGCATTCGCCTTTGCGGTGTCCCGGCCAATTGCACGCGAAGCGGTGCCCTTTGATCGGTGCGGCAGCGGCATTCGCGGTGACGACACGTATCGTAGCGCTCTCATTCGTCCCACGAGATCGATGTCCCTAGTTGTTGCTGCTTCCGTAGGACCCTTGGTCTCGGTCGGCGAAAGAAGTCGAGCTTCTCCGCCATAGCGAGAATCTCCTGAAAGTCGGTGACGCCGCGGAGCTGGATTTCCTGAGCAATGTTGTGCTTCAGGCCGCCGATGTAGCTGTCGATGCGCTCACTTTTGTGCATGTAGCCCACCTGCTCACACAGCGCCAGAAACCCGCTGGTGTAATCTTGGACGGAACCGAGTTGGCGCCAAGTGCGGAGCTTCTGACGCGCCGCGATCGAAGCCGCAATTGGCTCAAATCGAGCGCGCAGACCTATGCACCACGTGTCCCACGTGCGATATTGGGGCACCTCCACGAAATACGACGGTGCACAGGGTCCGGTTTGTCCTTCCCGTGTCGGTAGAGTCGCGTAGTCCGTCGGCTTCGTGACGATGACGGGCCACCAATCCATGGCGGGTCCTCGCAGCAGCAACACGGCGTAGCAAATTTTCGTCGTATCCTCCGAGACGTCGTTGGCATCGAAGAAAACGTTCATCGTGAACAACCACGCCTGAACGGTATGACCACCCCGTTGACTCGGGTCAAAGCATGGGCGACGCTGCGGCTTCAGCAACATCGGCGACTGCACTTGATTCGCTGGCTGGCATAGAAATCGTGACGCGGGGTTGACTTCTGGCTGCATTCGTCGCTTTGGGGTGTGTCGTGCCGTGGTCGTCGTCTTCGTCGTTGCGGACGACGCCATCACTGGCCGCGCTCGCGGATTGCCCCACACTTCCGTGCTGCGATGCCTGTTGTGCGGGTTGTCCCGGTGTGCCTTGTGCTTGCGATTGTGCTTGCTGTGCTCGTGCAACGTCATTTTGCGGGGACATGCGTTATGCCGTCAGCGCCGCGATTTCTTCGGAGTTTTCGCGAAGTTGCTGCAGCAACTCCTTTAAACGGTCCTGCGTGAGCGTAGTGACGTCAATGCGTTCAGCCATGGCGAAGGGCGTCGGCTCAGCTTAGTCTAGGCGCAGTCATGGCTGCACGTGTTTACGAGAGAGCGCGAGGACAGCGGCTCCTAGGTGCTAAGGGGCGTGAGTCCCTACGAGTGAAAAGTAAAAAGCTGATATCCTGGGGTGCGGAGATGCGCGGTCCGAAAAAGGAAAGTGGCTCTGATAACCAAGTGTTACGGGTGCAATGGAACGAGGTAGCGAGAATTGCACTAGAGTGTCAAACGAGTACAAAGTCTGAGCGAAGGCATGAGCGAATACTTATACGCGAAACATGCAAACGGTAACGCGGTGTGTGCGAGCTAGCTAGTGCTAGGCTGACATCGAGGTTCGGGCTAGTCCTGAAGCGTAGGCCGACTCGGCCGGGCCAGCGGTGCAAGATATGGTGAAACAGTGCGTGCGAAGGTGGCGAAGCCCCGTTAGCAGTAACGGGCGAACAACGCTTGTGGCTGTACGCGATGTTGACGGTCGCAGTAAGGAATAGAGAGAAAATTCCTTACAAGCTGGAAGAAGTACTGTAGCACTATTGGGAAGCTGCTCATTCTACACGCCGCTGACCAAGCTGCAGTGGTTTCATCAAATGCTCGAAGGCAAGATTTCACGGCGCGAGCGGATAATTGTACATTATTGGGTCGCGCGAATCGACGAAAAAATTACACATCGCAGGTTACGCGATCGGCAGAGTGAGGAGCACACAGTTTACCCCTTCCCGCTACCATTATGCGAATCCAACTCGCCAAGTCGGTATATTTCGCCCCGCAGACTCCCACACAAGCAAGCAAACCACCTGCACTGAACCTCTTATCTCCCCGCAACTCACGGCGGCCTTTCAGACAGCGGCTCCACAGGGATTTCGGGATCCTACGCACGCTCTCATTTCTGCACAAGTGAAGTATAGAAATAACGACAGGTCTCACTATTCTCATCAGCACTTCAAATCGTCCTCTTACTGTCCTTTACTCACAAATAGTAACAGATAGCGCAATTACCTGTAAGCCCGTTTCAGCTTCTCGTGAAACTCCCATGAAAATAAAAATGGCTCGTTTCATCCCGGCGGCCGTGAAGGCCTCGTTTCTCTTCGTCTGCCTCGCCTCCGCGGTGCTCCTCTCCGCCGCCGCTGCCACTCCCGCAGCAAATGCGACTGCCGCCGCAAACAAGACTGCGGCCGCAAACAAGACTGCGGGCGCAAACGCGACTCACCCAAACCGTGTCGGGTCTGCCGGCGTGAGCCTCACGTTGACGAGCGCGAGGCGGAGCAACGGCATGAGCCAGGGGAAGGATACCACGTGCTCGTACTACGGCAACTACACCGCCAACCCCTTCTTCGGCAAGGGCCTTACCGTAAAGCTTCCTCCCGCCACTTTCCAAAAGGCTGCGGTGCCTGTTACAAGGTGAGCTGCGTGAACGACACGAAGCGGTGCCGCGACAAGCCGGTGACGGTGCGCGTGGTGGGCGAGGTGAAGACGGAGAAGCAGCTGTCGCTGTCCCGCGTGGCATGGGGGAAGATCGTGCAGGCCGACATCGCCGGGGCGCCCGTCAACGTCACGTACGTGCGCACCAACTGCGTGTCGACCGTCGGATCTGCGGTGCGCGTGCGGAAGAACGCGACGGCGGAGAGTTTCGCGATTCAGATGGTGGGACTCGCGGGGCCCGGCACGCTGCAGCTTGTCGAGGCGAGCGCGGACGGCGGCAAGAAGTGGACGAAGCTCGCTCGCGACGGCAGCAAGGCCGTGTGGGTGCTCGCGGGCGCAGAGGCGAAGGCGGTTACCGGTGCGAAGAAGGCGATGAGCGTTCGCCTCACCGCGGGGCACACGCTGGAAGTGATCGTTCTCGCTGACATCATTCCCGCCGATTGGAAGCCTGCTACGCTATATCCTGCGAAGACTAACTTCAAGAAGCTGATGCCCGAAGCCAAGTAATATTACACCAATCCGAAGACATCTGGAATGCACCACAACGGATGTCTGAACATTATACTAGGAAGAAGGAAGTAGTGTACGAAATGGCGAATGTTGGATGATTCTTGGGGTCGGGTTAGCGGGGTGGGGAGTGGGGTGATATTCCTGGGGTTCCAGTGAAATGTGTGTGTGAATCGATGTGTTGGTTGTCTTGATCATCTTGAATAATATATGGCCTTTTATTGAAGCACGGCACTGACGAGCCGGACAGGAAGCCTGGGAAGGGGAAAGTTTTATTTCGGAGCTATGTTCTGACGAGTCGCGGCAGTTTTCTATCAGACAAAGTGGTTCTGGTGGTCACTTTGACAGGAATGCTGACATATGCTGGTTGGGCGAATGAATCAGGCAGCGCGCAATCCTGCTGGCGGAATCAGGTAATTCCAGCCTCGTGTCAAGTTTGAGTTGGTGTCAAGTTAAAACCTTGGAGCGCACACGATTGGCCCAAAAACCACAACGGGCCAATCACGCGCATTCCAAGGTTCTAGGTTGACACCAAATCAAACTTGACGCGAGGCTGGAATGGACCTCAGAGGCTCCTGCCAACAGCGTTGCAGTCCAGACTGGTTATCACAACACGTGTTGATCTTTCAAGAAAACCTTCAGACTTAAAGCTCGCGTCTCAGATTTCCAACCTTTTAACACTTGGTTGGGTTTTCCCGTCTGTGATTGGGTAACGAATGACGAATTATTTGACGAGTGGGTGAAAAAAACACAGCGAACTCCCAAACAGTCGAGGCCAAAACAAACCAGGGTGGGTTGGTTTGGGTGGAAAACGAGCCAAGGGGGACAGGTTTGGTCCCGGGTTCTGTCAACGTTGAGTTCAGAGTCTCATATTTTCGAGAGTTGTTAACACTTGGTGTGCACGGGGAAGTGTGCGACAGCCAACTTTCCCAAACCACCCCTTGCTTTGGTGTGCTTTGCGACAAACTCTGCTGTTACCGGATTCCAACCGTTTAACACTTGGTTGGATGGCAGAAATATGAGACGTGAGCTTTAACAGAAGTAGGGAAAATTGGCTTACAAGTGGTTTTCAAGTGTACGTTAGCGGAACAGGCTGTGTATTCGGTAAGTTCGCCAAGGCGCGTCCGAGATCCAAGTCTCGGTCATTTATCCGTTTCCCGCCAAGGTTGTGTCAGAAATGGGACAGTTGTGTCAGTCTCCTTGGTCTGTGTGGTCTTGGGATCCCCACAGATGCTTTTTGGTCTGTTGGTTGCGCAATTTGAGGAAGTGTCATGTTTCGCGGCTCAGAACGTTTCCAAGCGGTGGAACTCGGTTTTTTTTTTTTGCCGTCCCAGACAAAACAAACTACACCGCAAATAACGTACAGGGAACATACGCCCTGGATATCCCCATCTATTGGAGTAGGGACTCACTGCAGTGGTTCTATCGTTTCGCATAATCGGTTCCTCTGTTCCTCTCAACCCTTTTCAACCTTGAAAGCATTCCGCGAGTCGCGGCCGTCCGCAGGCAAGGCAGCAGACGTGGCCCAGCCTGGACGTTACAGCGACCTTGCGGGGTTGCGAAGCTGGCATCTTGCGCACCGTGGAAGCGGGCGGGGCGCCGCTGGCACGCTCGCCGCTAGCGGGCTGTACGGAACACGCCGTCGCGCGCGGCGGGATAGGAATCTGGTAGCGTTTTCCCGCGTGGTTCGGAAAACTTCAACTGCTGCTTTCTCTTGACCGTGCTCGCGGCGTGCTCGCTCCATTCCCAGATATTCTGCAGATTCGAGAACCATATCGCAAATTCTACAGGTTCGAGTGCGTTCTCGGAATACCTTTGGCACTCACTAGCTACCTGCCCCGAGTCCGCGGTTCGGTCTAAGGATTTCCAACGGCTTGTTCGGTTTATCCACCAGTGGCGGTCCGGCTCCGCCTGCGAAATTCCTGATCATTTCGCCGCTAGGGTGCCGTGTTTTCGCCAGGGGCATGGCGAAGAAAGAGGAGCTCACCGGGCGATTCTCCAGCTGGGCGTCGCACGCCGTCGCACAGTCGCAGCTAGGCATCGCACTCCTGCTGCTGCCGCTGCTCGCGTGCGTCGTCCTGTGGAGCTCCTTCCGCGCGCGCGCGCCGATCGCGGGGGGCTGGGGGGAAGACTCTCAAGCGGGTTCCCAAGCGGACCAATGGAGCGTGAGCGTCTTTGCAAGGGGAGCGGGAAACGAGAGCGACACTCTGGAAGAAGCGAGGATTGCGGGCGTGAACAGGCGATGGGGGCCTGTTGGCGGCGAGATGGCCGCGGGAGAAGCGCGGAATGGGGCTGTCGAGGCGACTCGAGAGACGTCGCGAGAGGGGGAGGCGCGAGAGGCGACGGCAGGTTTAACGGCCGTTAACGGACAGGCGGAGGGCGTTGACGGACGGGAAGAGGCGGAGCGCGAGGGGATAGTTGGGAGTGTAGAGGGAGGAGGGGTGAAGGAGAGAGGGGATGGACAAGGAAAGGCGAGAGAGTCTGCTGGGGGGGGCGCGAGAGGAGGGGAAGGTGGTGGTGGGGGTGGTGGGGGAGAGGGTAAAGGGGCGAGGGGTGGAGAAGGGGGAGGGAAGGAGGAAAGGAGCAGCGTAGGTGCGGGGAAAGGTGGGGAATTGGAGGGAGGTTCGGCCGAAGGCTCAGAGGGAGGTTCGGAGGAAGGAGGGCAGGAAGGAGAGGAATTGTTGGTTGGGTGTGAAGAGATGATGAATGAAGGTTTGAGTGATAGTAGCGGGGGCGAGGAGGGGGGAGAGGAAGCGGGAGAGAAGGGGGGAGATAAGGAGAGAGATGAGAGGGGAGAGGAGGGGGGAGTGGGGGAACGAGAGGACGGGGAAGGGAAGGAGAGAGATGAGAGGGGAGAGGGGGAGGGAGAAAAAGGGGGAGAGGAGGAGGGAGGGCAAGAAGGGGAGGACTTGTTGGTTGGGTGTGAAGAGATGATGAATGAAGGCCTGAGTGATAGTAGCGGGGGCGAGGAGGGGGGAGAGGGAGGAGAGAAGGAGAGTGGGGAGGGTGGGGGGGAGGAGAGACCAGGTGACGGGAACATAGGAGAGGCGGGCGGTCGAGAGGGGAGTGCAGGACGAGCGGACGCGGGAGGAGTGCGGGTGGGTAGCAATGCAAGGGACAAGAGAAGCGGAGGCAGGGATGATAGCAACAGCGGCAGTGTTGGGGGCAGTAGTGCTGGCAGCAGTGGTGACAGTGCTGCTGGCGCCAAGGGTGTCGTTAACGGGAGTGAGAGTGGTGGGGCGCGCAATGGGGGTGGTGGTGCGGCCGGCGCTGTTGGAGGGGCGGCCACCGCAGGTGGTGCGAGGAAGAAGGGAGGAGGGCGCAAGGAGAAAATTAAACTGGATGGTACGACGCCATGTGCTCCAAGGGCCCCATGTGCTCACTCGCCCATATCATCGTGATTTCTTTGAGGCGTCTCAGAATTTCTCACTCAACCATATCAGCTTCATGTGTCACCCGTGAGAGAGAGAGAGAGACAGCTGATTCCACATGTGCGAGCATGTCCCAGTGTTGTGTCAAAGCGCCCTACCATGCATCGCCTCCTCTTGTAGTCCTCTCTTTTCCTTCCCCCCCCATGCAGCCCCTCTCTCAATGCGACCTGTACGTCAGGTCCTGTACGTCAGGTCCTGTACGTCAGGTCCTGTACGTCAGGTCCTGTACGTCAGGTCCTGTACGTCAGGTCCTGTACGTCAGGTCCTGTACGTCAGGTCCTGTACGTCAGGTCCTGTACGTCAGGTCCTGTACGTCAGGTCCTGTACGTCAGGTCCTGTACGTCAGGTCCTGTACGTCAGGTCCTGTACGTCAGGTCCTGTACGTCAGGTCCTGTACGTCAGGTCCTGTACGTCAGGTCCTGTACGTCAGGTCCTGTACGTCAGGACCTGTACGTCAGGTCCTGTACGTCAGGACCTGTACGTCAGGTCCTGTACGTCAGGTCCTGTACGTCAGGTCCTGTACGTCAGGTCCTGTACGTCAGGTCCTGTACGTTCAGGTCCTGTACGTCAGGTCCTGTACGTCAGGGTCCTGTACGTCAGGGTCCTGTACGTCAGGTCCTGTACGTCAGGTCCTGTACGTTCAGGTCCTGTACGTCAGGTCCTGTACGTCAGGTCCTGTACGTCAGGTCCTGTACGTCAGGTCCTGTACGTCAGGTCCTGTACGTCAGGTCCTAGTTACGTCAGGTCCTGTACTTCAGGTCCTGTACGTCAGGTCCTGTACGTCAGGTCCTGTACGTCAGTTCCTGTACGTCAGGTCCTGTACGTCAGGTCCTGTACGTCAGGTCCTGTACGTCAGGTCCTGTACGTCGTCCTGTACGTCAGGTCCTGTACGTCAGGTCCTGTACGTCAGGTCCTGTAACGTCAGGTCCTGTACGTCAGGTCCTGTACGTCAGGTCCTGTACGTCAGGTCCTGTAACGTCAGGTCCTGTACGTCAGGTCCTGTACGTCAGGTCCTGTACGTCAGGTCCTGTACGTCAGGTCCTGTACGTCAGGTCTGTACGTCAGGTCCTGTACGTCAGGTCCTGTACGTCAGGTACTCAGGTCCTGTACGTCAGGTCCTGTACGTCAGGTCCTGTACGTCAGGACCTGTACGTCAGGTCCTGTACGTCAGGACCTGTACGTCAGGTCCTGTACGTCAGGTCCTGTACGTCAGGTCCTGTACGTCAGGTCCTGTACGTCAGGTCCTGTACGTCAGGTCCTGTACGTCAGGTCCTGTACGTCAGGTCCTGTACGTCAGGTCCTGTACGTCAGGTCCTGTACGTCAGGTCCTGTACGTCAGGTCCTGTACGTCAGGTCCTGTACGTCAGGTCCTGTACGTCAGGTCCTGTACGTCAGGTCCTGTACGTCAGGTCCTGTACGGTCAGGTCCTGTACGTCAGGTCCTGTACGTCAGGTCCTGTACGTCAGGTCCTGTACGTCAGGTCCTGTACGTCAGGTCCTGTACGTCAGGTCCTGTACGTCAGGTCCTGTACGTCAGGCCTGTACGTCAGGTCCTGTACGTCAGGTCCTGTACGTCAGGCCTGTACGTCAGGTCCTGTACGTCAGGTCCTGTACGTCCAGGTCCTGTACGTCAGTTGTCCTGTACGTCAGGTCCTGTACGTCAGGTCCTGTACGTCAGGTCCTGTACGTCAGGTCCTGTACGTCAGGTCCTGTACGTCAGGTCCTGTACGTCAGGTCCTGTACGTCAGGTCCTGTACGTCAGGTCCTGTACGTCAGGTCCTGTACGTCAGGTCTGTACGTCAGGTCCTGTACGTCAGGTCCTGTACGTCAGGTCCTGTACGTCAGGTCCCTGTACGTCAGGTCCTGTACGTCAGGTCCTGTACGTCAGTTCCCTGTACGTCAGGTCCTGTACGTCAGGTCCTGTACGTCAGGTCCTGTACGTCAGGTCCTGTACGTCAGGTCCTGTACGTCAGGTCCTGTACGTCAGGTCCTGTACGTCAGGACCTGTACGTCAGGTCCTGTACGTCAGGTCCTGTACGTCAGGTCCTGTACGTCAGGTCCTGTACGTCAGGTCCTGTACGTCAGGTCCTGTACATCAGGTCCTGGGTCTCTGACCCACGCCCTCCTCCCCGCACCAACACCGCCTGTCCCAACTTCGCTTCGAGCTGCCTTACCATTCCATACCTTCCATGTTCGCCCCTTTTTCATTAGCCCTCAACCCTCTTCCCCCTTCTCCCTTCCCCCTTCCGGCTTCCCCATTCCCTTCCCCAGTCCCTCTTGCCTGCGACCTCTACCGTGGGTCATGGGTCCCGGACACCAGCCCTCCGCTCTACACCAACGCCACGTGTCCCAACATTACTCGCCATCAGAACTGCCAGGGCAACGGGCGCCCGGACAGCCAATACGAGCGCTGGCAGTGGCGGCCGGAGGGGGCGGCGTGTGCGCTGCCGCGCTTCGATGCAGAGGAGTTCATGAGGGTTATGCGCGGTAGAGGGGTGCTCTTTGTGGGGGACAGCGTTGCACGGAACCATTTTGAGTCGCTCGTGTGCCTTCTAAGTCAGGTGAGCAGAGGGGCGGGTGGGGTGTGGGGGAGTTCAAGTCGGTTCTGAGGGTTATGACGGTTATCCATTGTAGAGGGGACAGCATTGCGAGGAACCATTTTGAGTCGCTTGTATGCCTTCTAAGTCAGGTGAGAGGAGGGGCTGTGTCCCTGTCGGGGGTTTACATGGTCATGAAAGTTGGGAGGTTCAGGAGGGTTCTGTGTGGTATGGGGTAATGCGGGTGATGTGGACGAGGAGGGTTATGCAGGGTATGGGGCGACATGAGGCGGTAATGGATACCGTCCACTCCTTGGGGCTCCACGGTTGTTCTTAGGAACTCCTTGGGTTTCTCTCATCGTCATCCCCCCCATCGTCTTCTCTTTCACTTGCGCTGCCTGCCTGCCAGGTGGAGAAGCCAGAGTTTCACGGCGGCAAGTCCATGCTTCGCCTTGTATTCCGCTCCTCTAAAGTCACACTCGCTAGAGTCAACTCAGCGTGGCTTGTAGAGGAAGGGAACGACATCGTGCCTGACTGCCCCGACTCCATTCCGCGCCTGCACCTCGACCGAACCAGCCCCAAGTGGTTCGGCGAGATCGGCAGGTTCGATGTTGTCATGTTCAGTTCGGCACATTGGTTTGTGAAGCCTTCGATTTACATGGAGAAAGGGGAGGTGATTGGGTCGCAAGGGGGGTGGTGGAAGCGGGATGAGCCGGCAAGAGTTGACAACAAGGGCGCGTTCGCGATTGCGATTCGGACCGTGTTTCGGGACGTGGTGAAAGAGCTTGGGAAGAATCCGAACCGAGTGTTTATCTACCGAACCTTCTCCCCGGACCACTACGAGAAAGGCGAGTGGAACACGGGAGGTTCGTGTGCGGGCCTTACCGAACCTAAAGGCGGCAACTACACCTACAGCAACACGTTCGGGCTCAACTTATACACGAAGCAGCTGGAAGCCTATAACGAGGTTATAGAGGCCGCTATTGAAGCAGGCGCGAGTGTAGACCTGTTACGATTCACCCTCATGGATGTGATGCCAAGTGCAGGGATGAGGGTGGATGGGCACCCAGGGCCATACAGAGGGTTGAATGCAGCGGAAGAATTGGCTAAGTACAAGGATTCCAAGTTCCCTCCCCCTCAGGACTGCCTGCACTGGTGCTTGCCCGGGCCGATTGACTTGTGGAATGTGTTTCTGCTGCAGATTGTGAAGCGAGGGTTTGCCTCTATGCAGGGGCAGGGTGGGTAGTGGAGGGAGGGAAAGCGTGGAGTGATGGAAGTGCGCCAACAGAAGCGGGTGGTGCTTGCCAGGGCCGATCGACTCATGGAATGTGTTTCTGCTGCAGATAGTGAATAGAGGGTTTGTGTCTATGCAGGGGCAAGGGGTAGTGGAGGGAGGGAAGGGGGTGGAGTGGTGGAGAGGAGGTGCTTCAACAGAAGCTGGTGTTAGAATCTTAGGCGAGAATGATTGACTAGGAAAATGGAAGGGGTACAAGTAGAATGTCGAGAGAAACTTTGTACCCCCTAAGGCTAAACCCACTATAGCCTAGACAACTATAAACACATAAACTAAGCCTAGATATAACTAGGCATATATGTTTGACACACCCCCATAGGCGAAGTGGGGGATAGCCAGAACAAGCAATGGTCACAAGACCAGTCAAGAGAAGAAGCAAAGCAAAGCAAGCTCAGGGTGGATCACAAAGTCACCACATAGTCCGAGCACAAGCAAAGGGCCACAAGGCCAGTTCACATGCAGAGTTATATAAAGAGAACAAAGAATACAGTGATAATACCCTAACAAGTGCAAGCATGCAGGTATATAGATAGATCACAGTACAGGCAGAGCTAGGGGCATTCACAAAGGGCAAGTGAAGAGGAGGCTGGACTGTGAGAGGAGAGGAGATAGGAGGCGACTGCTGATGCTGCAGACACACGGGCAACAGGAGCGGCGCGCACTGTGGCTACCGGGGCCGTATCCCCGGACTACAGGAGTAACTGGCTCTGCGACTAACTCTGAGCAGCAGGAGCAACGGACCCACAGGCGACTGGCGCAGCAGGCTCGCTGGGCTACCGGAGATTGTAGCCTCCGGACTACTGGCGCTGCTGGCGACACAACGGCTACCTCCGCTCAACCTCCCCCAGAACTGTCCCACCCCCCTTTCACACACCCCTTGCTGCACCCCTAGCTCCACTCCCATGTCACCCCCTTAGCATCACTCCCTCGGCTCCCACACACCCACCCCCCTCAGCGGCAGCTGCAGCAGTGGGAGACGAAGGTGGAGGAGGAGGAGGGGATGGTTCACACACCCGCCACCCCCATACCTGCCACCCCGCAGTTGCACCCACACCCGCCACCCCCATACCCCCACCCCACTGCTGCACCTGCAGCAGGGGAAGGAAGAAGAAGGGTGGGGGGGGGGGGGGGGGGGGGGGGGGGGGGCTGTGCATGGCGCGTGCAGAGGGCAGCAGGGCGCGCACAGGGCAGCAGGGCAGCAGGGCGCGCAGGGCGCAGCAGGGCTGCAGGGCGCGCGGGGCACGCAGGGCAGCAGCAAGGGCTGTAGCGGCAGCACAGGGCTGCAGATCCCCTCCCCCCACCGCTGCACCCGCAGCAGGGGTGGAGGAGAAAAGGGGGGGGGGGGGGGGCTGATGCTGCAACTCCCCTCCCCCCACTGCTGCTGCAGATCCCCTCCCCCCACCGCTGCACCCGCAGCAGGGGTGGAGGAGAAAAGGGGGGGGGGGGGGGCTGATGCTGCAACTCCCCTCCCCCCACTGCTGCTGCAAATCCCCTCCTGCCTCCCCCTGAACCTCCAAGCTTCCCCCCCCTCTCCCCGCCATCCCCATGGAGGGGAGGGGGGGGGGGGGGGCTGGTGCCGCAGATCCCCTCCCCCCCACTGCTGCACCCGCAGCAGGGGGGAGGTAGGAGAAGGGGCAGTGCAGGAGCCGCTCGGGCGACAGCAGGTTGGCCACACCCGCCACCCCCATACCCTCCCCCCACTGCTGCACCCGCAGCAGAGAGATGGAGGAGAAGGGGGGGGGGCGGGGGGGGGGGGGGGGGGGGGGGGGGCAGGTGCTGCAGGTCCCCTCCCCCCCTCTGCTGCTCCCGCAGCAGGGGGAGGTAGGAGAAAGGTGGGGGACCTGGTGCTGCAGATCCCCTCCTGCCTCCCCCTGAACCTCCAAGTTTCCTCCCCCTCTCCCCGTCATCCCCATGGAGGGGGGGGAGGGGGGGGAGGGGGGCGGGGGCGGAGATGCGCTTGCGACTGAAGGGCACGCGGGCAGGAGGAACCCCCTCTTGCCACCCCCTCACCCACCATGGCGCAACAGGGCACCGGGGCCGCGGTTAGGGGCGGCAGGTCGCGAGGGGCCATGGCTAGGGGCGACGGGGCCATGGCTAGGGGCGACGGGGCCGGGCGCTGGGCAGGTACGGGGCCGGGCGCTGGGCAGGAACGGGGCCGGGCGCTGGGCAGGTACGGGGCCGGCCGCTGGGCAGGTACGGGGCCAGGCGCTGAGCAGGGACTGGGCCGGGCGCTGGGCAGGTACGTGGCCGGGCGCTGGGCAGGAATGGGGCCAGGCGCTGGGCAGGGACTGGGCCGGGCGCTGGGCAGGTACGGGGCCAGGCGCTGGGCAAGTACTGGGCCGGTCGCTGGGCAGGTATGGGGCTGGGCGCTGGGCAGGTACGGGGCCTGGCGCTGGGCAGGTACGGGGCCGGGCGCTGGGCAGGTACGGGGCCGGGCGCTGGGCAGGTACGGGGCCGGGCGCTGGGCGCGGAATGGGGCCGGGCGCGGGGCTAGGTACGGGGCCGGGCGCGGCCAAGAGACGGGGCCGGGCGCTGGGCGAAGGACGGGGCCAGGCGCGGGCTTGGTACGGGCCGGGCGCGGGCTAGGTACGGGGCCAGGCGCGGGCGAGGTACGGGCCGGGCGCGGGGCTAGGAACGGGGCCGAGCGCGGGCTAGGTACGGGCCGGGCGCGAGGCTAGGTACGGGCCGGGCGACGGGCTAGGTACGGGCCGGGCGTCGGGCTAGGTACGGGCCGGGCGCGGGCAGGAGACGGGGCCGGGCGACGGGCTAGGTACGGGCCGGGCGACGGGCTAGGTACGGGCCGGGCGCGGGCAGGAGACGGTGCCGGGCGCGGGCTAGGTACGGGCCGGGCGACGGGCTAGGTACGGGCCGGGCGTCGGGCTAGGTACGGGCCGTGCGACGGGCTAGGTACGGGCCGGGCGACGGGCTAGGTACGGGCCGGGCGCTGGCGACGAAGTCGACGGGGCCAGCGGGGCCGAGGCGACGGGGCCAAGGGGCCGAGCCTAGGGGCGACGGGCCGGGGCCTAGGCTAGCAGGGCAGTAGGTGGTGGGCCCATTAGCATTAGGTCCTAGGACTAATTGCTCTTAATACCATGTTAGAATCTTAGGCGAGAATGATTGACTAGGAAAAGGGAAGGGGTACAAGTAGAATGTCGAGAGAAACTTTGTACCCCCTAAGGCTAAACCCACTATAGCCTAGACAACTATAAACTCATAAACTAAGCCTAGATATAACTAGGCATATATGTTTGACAGCTGGTTGTGCTGGTGTGGGCACATGGACCAGAGGAACGGGTTCCTGCTACAGATCGTGACGAGGGAGATCCTTTCCTGGTCAGGGGCAGGAGGAGCTATACGAAAATACAGAATCTGCTGGAGGAGGGGAAGGGGGCCTCTTTGTTTAAGTGCTTCAGCTGATTCTGGGAGAAATGTTTGTAGTGAAGCCACGCCACCAGGCGTTGTATCAACTATAGTTTGGCCCTAAGTTCGACAAGGTAACTATAGGGCAACAGCATTGTAATTGGGGAAAGACTAAGGCGTGTATTTTAATGTATTTATAATACCTAGAGTTTCTTGTTGATGTGCAATCATGGGGGTGTAGCTCACGTGGTAGAGCGATCGCTTCGCATGCGATAGGTAAGGGGATCGATACCCCTCACCTCCATATCCGGCCTTCGATAGAGTGATTTGATTTAGGGACATGCAACCAAGAGCATGAATGTTTCTTGACTTTTGCAAGTCCTGTATGCAACCACCCATGCCAGCACAATTCCACTTTCCAGTACTGTACAACCAAATGGAAGAGGTGCCCAGCTTCATGACATTGGAGGAGGACATGGAGGTTACACTGCAACCATCACATCCTGCACCCGCAGCTGGCAGTGCTTGTTGAGTGGCCTGGCTAGTAGCACCATGCACCATCAAAGGTTTCCATGCCTCGAACAAGAAAATACCTTACACCACATTTTCCGCCGCATCAACCAGAAAGCATCCCCACGCCAAGGATGCGTAGCACGGGCCTCAGGCGTTGGTAGCTACAGCAAGCAGCGTGTTAATTGTCCTGACCAGCAGCCTCATGCTCAACACTAGCTTGGGATCAGGGTTAACTTCAACCAGGTCCTCCTCCTCCTGCTCCACCACCGGCTGGATGTGTCTCTTTATGTCGCTTAGCAGCTGAGGTACTTCCTCTGCTCGCAATATGCTAAGAGCTCCCACGCACTCACGTAATGCCTGTGGGGTACATGCATGCAATAAGGTATGGAGATGGTATTCTAAAACAGACAGAGCTTGTTCAAGATAGACACACATTGTTCAAAGCAGACAAACTTCGTTTAAAACAGGAAAACAGGCATGTGTCAACTTAGCGAGATCATGAACGCGAGAAAGGGTCACTATCTGCTCACCTTCATGGCATTATCTCCGGCTTCCATCAGCTCCTGCTGCAGCCTCGCCTTGTGCTCCTGAGCGTTCCTCAGCTGCTGCCGCAGCCCGTTGCACTGCTCCGTCATCTGCCAAGAACGTCCCAGCATGAAAGGGAGTACATAAACCAGTCTTTGCTTGTTTGAGGAGATTAAGGGCGGCAATCAAGGAATTGGCCTCTACGAAACGGAAAGGGAGGGTGGGGAGTGCTCGGCTAGCGTTTGTGTGTCCAAACAGTAGGCAGAAGATGTGTATCCATGCTCATGAGCGAGGGCACGTGAGCACACCCAGACAGACACAAACATGCATGCTCTGATACATACCACGCGCCTTCCACCATCCCGTTACCCCCACCCTCCAGTCTTACCTCTTCCAATTCTGTCAAGTCTATCACATTACTCTCCGCCTCCCAGTCTTCCTCCTGCTCCTCCCACTCTCCCTCCTCCTGCCCCCCCCGATCCACCTCCTCCTCCAGCTCCTTTATCGTCGCTTGCAGATTCTCAATCTCCTTCTGACACAATCTCAACTTTGCATCCTTGCCGTCCATTTCTGCCTTGTGCCTCTCAGAAGTCACTGCATGCTCCTGCACTTTCGCTTTCAACGTTGCTGTTTCGTTCGCCCTATCCGCCAGTAAACGCTCACATTCTATAACCCTCTCCTTTGACTTCTCAGCCTCATCCGCTCTTGCTTGTAGCAACTCAACCTCTTTCTCTCGCTCCTCGAGTGTGACTTCCATCATTACAAACCCTTCAACCCGTGCCTCCAACTTCCCTTTCTCTTCTCACAAAGCACGTTTCATGCAGCAGTTTGATTTCAGACGACTGGTTGCTTAGTTGCAGCCGGACTTCACCAAGCAGGTGATTGAAATCTGAACCGAACGTGGTGAGGACGCACAAGCGGAAGTGGAAGAATCCGCGACAAGAAACAATGTATTGGTTTTTTGGCATCACTGTTGTTGGCGCGAAGAACGAACTGAGGAGAAACGGCGAGAAAATATTGTTTTTGTTGTACTCTAGACACTTCCATCCATCCAACATTCATGTACTTTGCGTTACACTCCCACTCTCAAGCCATCGAACGTGCTCCCATCCTATCCCCCCTAACTTCCATCGGCACACAATCATCTGCCTGATCCCTGCTCTACTGACACTTGAATCACTTAGTCTCTGATCACACATGTTCACAGGGTTAAGAAGCAGCTACTTTCACACCACTGCTCCACCCATCTTCCCTCTCGCCCGTCCACTCACCATCATCTGCCTGTTTCCTGCTCTGCTGACACTTCATCACTATCCCATTGATAGGGCACGAGCCTTTGTTGCTTGCTGCCATGGCTGCTTCAAGCTGCAGTGACAAGGAGGAAAGTGCTTGAGTGAGAGAGTGAGGGGGAGTGAATGAGTGAGAGAGAGACGTTGATGAGCATTATCAGAGTGGCATCGACCATAACTAAAGTACAACCATGAGTACACTGGTCTGTGATATGGGAGTACAAACAAATATGCAGGAATTATTGTTCGGAACGACGTACCTCCGGAGAAAAGGATCGGGTAGACGGGACGAAGGCACAGCCTTGCTAAACTAAAGCGATGTGGGTGACGCACGCGTAATGGTCCCAGAATGCGACAGGTCTGGTTACAAATGTCCCTTTCGCATGTAACGGAAGCTCGACATCATCTAGGGCTACTAAAAGCGGCGGAACAATAAAAGAACGGATCTCTTCAGGGGCGAAGCGGAGGAAGCGGGAGAGCTAACTCGAAAACGAGCTAATTCATGCTTCGCCCAGAGAAATGTCGTCACTCGGCGTTCGCTACCAATATCTTCGCCTGGTAACCACTACAGGGATTTTCAACTCTCAAATGGTCGCCTAACCCAGAATCTAGGGCCCAGAAGCCGCCAGCCCTTGCGCCCATTGCGTGGCGCAAGGCTGTGCGGGGGATGGCAGAAGGTGCGCCCTGAGGCAACTGTCCCCAATGCGCAACGCATGACAGGCAGGTGACGCGCTGATCTACACCCAAAGCTGGTCCCTGACTGATAAGCAGCAGCGTTCTTTCTAAGACTTCTAGGGAGTTGTTCCTGGCAACGCAGAGAGTTGGAACGTGGATATCCAAGGTGTGTGAATCTGGTTGGCGAATCCAAGTCTGTAAATTCACGCTGATCTGGTTTGTGCCTGTCGTGTCAAGTAAGCCGTTGATGTTCTCTCGAGGTTGGGCGAGCTTGGAAAGGGTCTGCGCTGCAGTATAGCATACTCGCATTCTCTTCGTATGTACATTCCTGATTTTCTTCGTTTAGGTTGTCAATAGACAATGTTGTTCACCACACAAACATCCCTGCATGCATCCAGACAATCTTCTCACATAATGCACATGAATGTAACGCACCATGAGTTATCCCTAATTATCCATGAAAATATCTGTAGAGTGACTACTGTACTTATCTTGACTACCGTATCACAAGAAAAGTTCTGCAGTCGGAGATACCGGTAATCAGTCTGGCAGATGCAGACTCGCCACCAACCGAGGAGCTGCAGCCAGCAGTGTCCCGATGGTCTCAGCTAGCAGCTTCACAATCTCCGCTACCTTGGGCTCAGAATCTACTTCCACCAAGTCCTCCCCTTCCTGCTCCACCACCGGCTGGATGTGTGTGTTGATTGCACTCACAAGCTGTGGTACTTCCGCTGCTGGCACTTTGCTGAGCTGCCTCACACAGCTGCGCAGCACCTGTGGGGTATGCAGGAAAACAAACAGACATGGATATAATTTTCCAACCAGAGGCACAATGCTGCCCCTGACCAGCCCCCCTCCTACCCTCCCCTTTCCTTCCCCCCTCCTCCCCACTGTTCAGCAGCCATGCAACACCCTAGGGAAACAGAAAAGTAAAGTGAATACAGTCAACACATTGACTTGCAATTTCTACAGACAGAAGCAACTCAGCATAGAATCACAAACCAAGGTGGAAGCAGGGAGAGTGTGAAGTGAATTTGGGAGAGTTGGAGAGCGGTTTTTTTCACTTGCCTGAAGAGACGTATCTCGGGCTTCCATCATTTGTTGCTGCAGCCTCCCTCTGTGCTCCTGGGTGTTCCTCAGCTGCTGGCGATACCTGCTCCGCTGCTGCGTCATCTGCCAAAAAAACATAAAAACGGTTTCCTCATGGATGGCTGCTTGTTCAAGGACGAAAAAACGAGATCACCAGATGGATCATTTTGAAGGGAGAGAAATAGGCATGCAACAGGGGCGTGCTGCAAGCTTGGCCCCTCTATGTGCATGTTCCGTATGTGAATCTTGCACATGCAAGTGCGCACACGTCTGCGTTCTCTCACATGCGTGTATGAGCTTGTGCACATGCTCGCACTGATCTCCCCACCTTACCTCCTCCAGGTCTTTCTTCAGATTCTCTACCTCCCGTTTGAGTCTCGTCACCATAACCTGTGATTCTCGTGCTTCTTTCTCGAACCCCTCGAGACGCCTCACCCTTGCTTTCAGCTGATCTGCTTCCTTTTCTCGCGCAACTACTTTATCCTTCAACTCTCTCACTCTCCCTTTCAAGCTGGCTGATTCGTTCGCCCCTGCCTCGAGTTTCTCAGCTTTGTCCTTCCACATCCTCATTTTCGCTTCCCAGTAGTCCGAATCTTTCCTCGATGCCTCCAGTTTCTCATGCTGTCGCCGACACCTACTCTCAAGTTTCTCATACTCCTGAACCCTCTCCATTTTCTCATATTCCTTAACCCTAATCTCCAGTTTCTCTTAGTCCTTGAACCTAATCTCCTCCAGCTTCTCATACTGCCTAACCCTTCTTTCAAGTTGCTCATGCTCACTCAGCCTAGCTTCCACGAGCTCAAACCCCTTCATCCGTGTGACCAATTCGACATTCACTGCACGCAGGGCAGCCAATGTGTCACGCAGCAGCCCAATTCCAGTTGACTGGCTGCGCAGCTCGAGCAGGGCTTGTTCCACAACCTGAGTTAACTCTGTTGGGGTAAAGAGACGTGGATAGTTTGGCACAATAAGAGCGTTGAAGCAAATACTTAATGTTGATACACCCTTAAAAGTGCCATGAGGTGGAAAAGATTACTACACACCTGGTCCCCAAAAATAATAAAGAGAAAAACTTCAACCTTTGTTCACCACCTTTCATGATAACGAGCAATTGCACCCCATTCTTTGCCCGTCCACTCACCATCGTCTGCCTGCTTCCTGCTCTGCTGGCAGTTCTTCAGTTTCACCTCAAGAATCGCCAAGTCGGCGTTACTTGCTGCCATGGTTGCTTCAAGCTGCAGTCACAACGAGGAATGAGAGAGAACAGAGGAGGAAGAGGAGAAGGAGGAGGAGGAGGAGGAGGAGGAGGAGGAGGAGGAGGAGGAGGAGGAGGAGGAGGAGGAGGAGGTTTAGGAGGAGGTGAATTCAAACGCAGGATATTTTTGTATAATTTGCGTTCTAGCTATGCAGCTTAGTGTCAGCAGAGAGTTTCGATGAGCACTGTAGGAACTGTATTGACCATATCTGGAGGTACAACCATGAAACGATTGCTTTGTCTTATGCGAGTAATTTGAATGCATGGCTTATTTCCAAAACCACGTACCTATGGTGAGGAGGATCGGTTGGACGGGAATAAGACGAAGGCGCGACCTGCTAGACGAAAGAGCTTAGGTGACGCACGCGTAGAACTGACAGAATCTGTGACAGATTTGATTCGGAAGGTCTTGGAGTCCTTAACAGAGCACGACGAACTCAAGACGTCATCTAGGGTTGACTGAAAGCGGAGGGAAAATGGGAACAATCAAGGAACGGCAATCTCGAGACGCTAGGCGGGGTAAGCGGGACTGCCAATCTGAAAAAGAGCGAATCGGTAAGCGAATGTCGGCACCCGCCGTTCGCTACAGAGCTCTTCGCCTTGTACCCGCTACAGGGAGTTTCGGCTCGCGCACATGATCACACTCTAACCCAGAATCTAGGGCCCAAAAGCCGCCAGCCCTTGCGCCCATTGCGTGGCGCAAAGGCTTCGCAGGAACGGCGGAAGGTGCGCCGTGAGGCAACTGTCCCCAAGGCGCAACGCATGACAGGCAGGTGACGCGCTGATCTACACCCGAAGCTGGTCGCTGACTGATAAGCAGCGG